GACGGATTGGAGAGGAGTTAGGTTGGGTGCTGGTGGACTGTATCTTGAACCAAATTGGCTAACACTCGAGTGAGATAGAATATTGAGAACCGTTGGTGGCGATGAGTTCTTTTGAGCGTCGCCAGTCAGTTGTCTTCGTATGCGACTGGCTTCGGAAGGGAAGAGGAATCCATGGGAATAGACGGTTCCAGCCTTGGGATGGTCATAGATCCAGCAATGCTCGCTCCTCCACCGTACATCACCAGCTCGAGGATGAGCCATAACCCACTTGGCAACGAGTTTATCTTCCGCCCCACGGGTGAGTCCTTTAGCCGCTTCACTTTGGGCAACCCAACTGACGATATTCCAGCTCAAGCCGTACATTTCACCACCCATGAACTTGTTCTTGACGAGATAACCCCAATAGACAAGAGGGTCTTCGATGGGTGGGGGTGTCCCATAATAGTACGAGGTCTGGTTCAGGCTCGAATGCATCTCGACTCGCAGCCGCCCTTCTAGCTCGGCGAGCATCAGGAAGGCATCATCGTCAGCCTTGACCACAAAGTCTGGTCGAACCCAGTTGGAAGGACTGTCTGGAAGAGGCCGGGGATCGTGTGGCGCAAGGGGATGTGCTTTCGTTGTCTGGTTTGTATAGGAGAACGGCAGCGGGGTCTGAGGAGGAGGGACCCAAGCATGCCTCGCAGCCCAAGTGAAATATGCGTGTGATTTTCCATTATTCATATTTTCGGAGATAGGCAGGATGACCATATCATTGTATGCTGCAATTTGCCATAAGAACAGGGCAGTGTGCCAATCTTCTTTTTACTTACTTTCGGCCTCAAGCTGGATTCTTCTCTCCCATTCGGGTCTTGGCTTTCCAAGAATGAATCTGACAATGGTGCGTGACGTTCCATTGTCGACTCTACTTCTCTCGTGATTTGCATACGTTGTCCGTATAAACATTCGCCGTTCTAAACCCGAGTCCATACTGAAAACGCCGACAAATACGCCTGCGGGTGTAAGCGTATAGAAGTTATTAGGTGGAAAAGGCTGCTGCAATGCGCAGTAGGAACGCCATGGAAGTGCCTCCTTGTCCGGATTTAGTTGGTATATGAGAAATAGTGTGAGAATAATGGCGAAGAGCGCAAACAAAACAAGTGAGAATAACTGAATTTAGCAGACACGTAAACAACCGCATGATTAGCGTTATCATCCAAGGGAGAGAGGTGCTTTTTTACGTACGATGGTCACGGGCTGTGTCGGTACCAAGGGATGTCTGGCAAACCGTCCTAAACGACGTTTTATACGTCTCATGACGGAAAAGCCAGAATCTCGTCGCCTTCTTCGTCGCCCAGAGTCTGAATCCCACCATCTTGTGGGCCCGAGCAGCGGAGAAGCCGGCTCATCATCCACGTCGGGACAACACCCAAAATTCGGGGAGCCCGCTCTTGATGCAGGCGTTGCTCGTCCACTATGAATGCTGACTCGAATGGTATCGCAACTGTCGTCCGAATCTGAGGATGAAGGGCTTTCATAACCTCCCCCCAATCCCATGGAACGCGATCGCTGAGGCTCCGACGTCAGCCGTGACAGCGCGAAAGGCATCCCAATTCCTGATTATGATAACAAATCCAGCTTGTTGTGAGTCCAAGGACCTTATCTATTTGTGGTCGAAAACGTCGGAGAAGAGCACGCTGCACCACCCGGCACCCTACGCTACGCGGCTTACAATAGAAACAAACAGGGTTTCAGTTTAAAAAAAGACTTTTCCTAGACGAAGATAATATTTTTACATTAAATCCAAATGAGCAGGATGTATGTCATGGCTTTGGTTCTGAAGGCCTTGTTTCTGCCGAAGGAGATGCTGGCACACGTTCTTTCCCTTTCCCTTTGCTCTTACGTGGTTGCTTCATACTGCCATCTTTTTTGCTATCTGGACTACTCGTAGAACTGAGTTTTAGGCCTGGCGATTGACGGGCTTTCGGTTCCTCATTTTCAGGTACTTCAGTGTCTTTCGGCGGTTTCTCGTCTTCCTCCTTTGCCTTTTGTTCCTGCTTTTGGACGATGCGCAATGCGAGTTCTAACACCTTCTTTCTTGCCTTCGTCTCTTCCTCAGTTTTCCCTTTGGCCATACGCTTTAATTGCCACGCAGGGATGTGCTGTTCCCGAATGTCTTTTGCCATCAAGTATGCGAGCTTCTTTATCTTGTCTTTTGCCTCCTTTTGCTTTGCTTTGAGATCTTCATCTTGATCTCCAGACTGAGAAGTGTCAACTTTCTTTGATTCTTCTAGATCCGTCGACTTCTTTCGTTTGGTTTCTTGCTCAATGCTTGTTGGATCGGGTGGCGGCGGCCGTCGTAAACGAGATTTCTCATTTTGTAGCCCTAGAAGTGCTCTCTTCTCTCGTAATAAACGTCTTTGAACAGCTTTGAAGTCGGGTTGTTTGGGATTGGAGGATTCGGCACCTTCCTCGGGTGGCGATTCGGAGCCTTCTAACAATACTGAGCTTAATGTCCAGGTGAAGGAAATGTCTCACCTCCAGAGCCCCCGAACACGTTCGATGTCGCGCCAAAGTTTATTTCTGGCTGGGTACCCGACTTGACGGTTCCTTTGACTTTGAGTCGCGATTGTTAAACCTCAAATGAACACACACAGTGGTCACCGATAAGGCACTTACCACGCGCCATCTTCCTCTGAATAGGTTTGGGAGGAAGCTTAGCAGCCTTTGGTATATTCAATTTCAGTATGGGAACGTTCGGGGTATCGTGAATCTGCATCTCCAAGAACTTTTTGCGTAGCTCGGCATCCCTTTCCTCATCCACGGTCGATACCTTCTTCATACCCGGTGCTTCTGGTAAAGGTTCATCGTTCAGTTTCAGTGTGGGTACCTTAGGGGTGGACGCAGAGTCGAGCTGTGGCAAATCTGATGCTAACTAGACAATTAGTGTTCTGAGGCAAATAAGACGCGTCAAATCTATACCAGGTGCCTTTGGTGTCACTGAATTGTCTTCTCCATTTTCTTTTCGCTCCGTATCTTTCTCCGCAGACTGATTATTCTGCTCAGTGGTGCTGGCTGGTTGCTTTTTGATCCTTCTGCTCGCACCTGGAGTTGGCAACGAACGAAGGAGTCTTCTTGGAGGAGGTGATAAAGGATTTGGATGATCAGACATTTCTCCTGACAAACGGGAAAGTCTGTTTGGGGGACTGATATGGGGAGACAACGAGAGCCGTGGTTGCTTTGTTCCCCTCCCGGCCCTTTCTTTCAATTTGACAGGGTAATTCCCACACGTAAAAGGTATCTAAAACATGGACGATACCAATTTCACTTATGGACACCACCATTGTGACGATGATTCAGCGAGCCGCTATATTTGGAAGAATTTCCATTAAATCCAAGTTTCCAATCCATTTCCTCTGCATG